CTACAGGTGCCTGCCACAATAGCCCAGCTTTTTTTTTTTTTTATTGTAGTTGTCATTCTTTAGCAGGCCCAGGCTGGGCTTAAACCCACCAGCCCTGGTGTATTTGGCTCGTGCCAATATCTTAATAAATAAGATAAGATTTACAAATATTGAGGTGAAACTTGGTCCAATGATAGTTGCATTCTGATTCAAGTAAGCCCAATAGGTTTTTACATGTTTTGAAAAATTGCCCTTATTTGCAGCATTTTAGCAAGCTGAGCTTTCTAAGACTGCTGTGCCCAAGCACACTGATCAGTGTGTGTGGATGCTCTGATCAGTCTGGCACTCTCATTGCAGAGAGAGTCTGCTGAACACAGTCACGGGTTTGGAAGATGCACGTTAAAATAAACAATGGCAAAACATCCGTGAAGCCAAAACCAGACATTGGTCTCTAAGTTAAACCAAATCTTGAAAACTTGAATAAATTCCAGGAAATTTAAATTTTTAAATCTCGTTGCTCAGTATAGTCACAGAATTAAAAAAGCAAAGAAGATTTCTGTCGGGCCTAAGAGAACTGTGAAAGTACTTTTCACATTATTATTGCTACCCTTTGGCATTCCAACTATAGTGAATTTATAGACCACCCATCTATGTACGCAACGCCGACTAAGAACCTTCAAACTGCATACAGTATTAATTTGTATCTAAAGAAGTTCATCTAGGAACAGACAAGGATGTTCACTCTAAAAAAATCCTAACAGAATAGTCCCAGCAACCCGGCCAAGAAACTTAGCCCCTCTCCTGAAAGTGTCTTCTTCAGTTACTCAAGTACAGGTTGAAGGCTAAGACTCATGTTTTAGTTTTATTCTTATAAAAATTAAAACCTAGGCAATGAATAGGAGTATACCTTGCGCACTGGCTTGAAGACGTCTATAATTTCCCCGCTGGAGAAGTTCATCACAAACCCCTGCAGGGGTTCTTCACCCTCAAAGTAAGGTTTCCCATTCACTGCAAAGAGCAAGCCTGCAATGACACGTCCGGGGGGGGGGGGCTTGTGTAAAATATGGATAAGACTGGACTTTCTATATCCGTGTGTATGTCATACGAACAACAAATTTAAGGTCAACCTGCTCCCTACCGTTGGCAACCAAAGTAGAAAACAAAATACTTAGCAAATGTCTACCCCTGAGTAATCAAATCAGGACCCAACAGGGTAGAGGACTAACTTCCTTGTATCAGGAATATCAGGAGCCGAGAAAGGCGGTGGGAATCAGGAGGACACAGGGACCCAGGTCAGATGTCATGCGGTCCTAAGCTGGTATTGTGGAAAATCAGGTTATTTGGCCAGTAATTTGGGAATATCAGATCTTTTAAATCAGAAAAAAATATGCAGTGAAAGTAGATGAAGTTACCATGTAAACAGAACAATCTGATTTTAAACCAGTGGAATCTGATAATGGGAGATGCATATTTCAGATTATGGAAGACGTTTTTCCCTAACGAAAAAAAGTTAGACCGCCTTTTAAATTTTAATCCCATGAATACTCTTTGTAGTAAAATGATATTGGTTGGGGAAGTACTGTTTATCTGTGGAAATGATGATTTTTTTGTTAAATAAATAATTATGTTAAATATGTTTATGTTTAACATAATATTAATAATATTAATTTAACATTATGTTAAATTATGTTAAATAAATAATTATGTGTTATGTTTTCAAAGAATTAAAACGTAATAAAACATAACAACACTGAGCCGCTGTTGAAGATTTTCATCACTCTTTAAGGATTACAGTATTTTTTTAGGCTATCACAGTGAGAAAAAAAAATCAACACCATAAACACCACTTACTACCGTGAAATATTAGAGTGAGAACTGCCTTTTGCTTAGATTCTGGTTCTAAACAGCTTTCTTCTCATTCTCTCCTGGTATTCTTCTTCTTATCACTGATTTATTTCTTTTTTACTATGAATTTGATCCCCCGATATTAAACAAATGGTCCTGAGAAAATTTCCTTTACATATGTGGTGAAACCCACCTGCCCTATTCTCTGTCCTTGGCCTTTCTGAGTAACTCATCCTTCTCCTTAGGCCTTAAGGAAGCTAAACTTGCCCCGTTCAGTCATTCGAGTCCTTTGAGTTTACAGTCTAATAAACTGGGGACCACAGCAGCTATGTGCCACGTTGATAGCATCAGAAGCGTAAATATTTGCTGCTCATAGGGACGACCACAGTCAGTGCTGCCTTAATACAGCCAGAGGTAATTTTAGTGAAATATATTGTGCCCTTTCATTGTGAATTTCCCCAAACTCCGCCTGTTACTAATCTCTAGTTTCATTCCATTATGGCCAGGGTGATAACTGTAATGAATAACAACGTAGGACATTTCAAAACTGTAAACGGAGTACATTCAAAATTTTTTCACCACAAAAAAAAGTACGTGAGTTAGTCATGCTGCATTTTAAACATATCTCAAAGCATGACACTCTATGTGCCCCAAACATGTATGCAATTATTGTTTGTCAATTAAAAGCAAACTTTTCAAAAATTATAAAATTTGAATATAAATTTTAGAAGTTAAATGTACTTTCAGTATTCATTATTTAAAGAAATACTATGCAAAGTTATTTTTTAATATGAATTATGTATACATTATTTTCTAAGTCTGAATTATTTTTTAAATTTTTGTAAGGTCAAGAAAATCTATTCTAAAAATAAGAAGAAAATAAAGATTTTATTGGTTATTTTTCCTGGTATTTAAAAATAATCTTCACATTGTTTTACATATTTTTTTAAGTTGCTAACTAGTTTTTTTTTTTTTGCAGCTTTTGGCTGGGGCTGGGTTTGAACCCACCACCTCCAGCATATGGGGCCGGCACCCTACTCCTTTGAGCCACAGGTGCCACCTGCTAACTAGTCTTTTAAAAAGGAAAAAGAGAAATATTTTGAAAACTGAATCTATCATACATACTATCTGTTCGTGATGTATGAAGACATAATATTAATCATTTAATAACTAGGGCAGATGATCATAATTAAAGAAAAGTGAAAATCAATGTATGAGAATTTTTTTTACACCATTACAAGCAACTGTTAAATTCTTTGAGTTCTTTGATCCACTGTGCACTGACAGACGTAACGTCCCTTAAGATCTGATACAGAATGCATCTTCAACTCCTTAATAAGAAAGCTTATAGAGAGAGCACATGAAATACAAAACAAAAAAAACATTTAAGGACAGATTACAGGAAGACAAAAGAACACCACCGACATTCAGGTGAATACCTGGTATGTATGAAATTGCAAATACGTTTCTTCCAAATGACGGATGCTTAATCTCTCTCACAAATTCTTTGGTGTCCGTGTTGAAGCACTGGATCCGACCATGCTCCCTGTCTGCCACACAGAGCTGGCCCAGAGGAGGCACAAGGGCCAGGCTGTGAGGGACACTGAGCTGGCCTGGCCTGGGGTTGCTCCCTGAAGACTCTACAGAACAAAGGGAAAACCTCAGCTACACAAATTACAAAATCTCCCATGACTCCTCCGTAGTTTTTTATTTTTCCAAATTCATGAAAGCAAACCATCAAATATCTGAAACCAGGGGAAAAATAAGGCAGAGAAGTTTATAAGTTCATTCTATACTATTTCTTAGTCATACACACATAGATTTTCTCCCTATTAGGAGAAGGTGTTTTGGTGGAAGCATTCTTTTCTTTTATAAGACGCGTGTGTGCATGTACGTGTGACTAAACCACCTAGACGCATACAGGGGCCCTAGGGGACGAATACAACACACAGAATGTGGAAGGGCTGCCGCAGTCTCGTTCCTGGTGATACTGGCCAACAGTTACAATGAGAGGTGAGGACTCAAGCCAGGGAGGTGGCTCCCACCCGTCTATAATCCTAGCAATCTGCGATGCATGGGGGGGAGGATTGCTTGAGGTGAGGAATTTGAAACCAGCCTGACCCAGAGCAAGATGGGCTCTACAAAAGTAATAGAAAAATCATCTGGATGTGGTGGTGCACACCTGTAGTCCCAACTACTCAGGAGGCTAAAGCAGGAGGATCCCTTGAGCCAGGAGTTTGAGGTTGCAGTGAGCTATGATGATGCCCCGTACTCTAGCCTGGGCAACAGAGTGAGACTGTCTCAAAAAAGAAAATGTCTCATTGGTACCTTCTCCCCACTGTGTGACGAACTTCCCCTGGGGTGAAAACTGCACAATCCGACTGTTGCAGTAGCCGTCTGATACGTAGACAGCACCAGTGTCCGGGTCCACGGCCACGTCGGTGGGCTGGCAGAAGTGGCTCTGGTCACTCCCTGGCTGCATGCTCCTCCCCAAGGTCAGTGCAGGGCCTCCCTTGCTGTTTGGGTCCAGTTTGAACACCTTTTTGAGAAGGAACAAAAGTCTTACCTACTGTTCTTGTTTAGTACTGACACACGCACACACGTGACTAAGGCCATTCTCACCAGCAACTGGAATGAAGTTCCCAGAGACTTACTTAAAATAAGATACTTCAAGATAACTTGATGGAACCCCAGAAATCATCTGATCTGATTCCTTCACTTGATAATTGAGGCCTGTGGGATTAAGTGGTTCACTCAAGAGCACCAGTGAGTTAGCAGTGAATGGAGATCAGTACAGGGACCCCTGCTCCATCCACCCATATCCCTTTTTGTCCCTTTTTTTTAGCTAATATTACAACGATCTTCAAAGAACACATGGGCAACTGTTGAAAGAACAACTTAGTGACTCATGTGTCTTTTGAATTCTAGTTTTTACCTTTATGAATAATATCATATTCATGACAAGGGCATTAAACTTGATAAGCTTCTATTTTGGGGAGAAATCTTGTGACTATTTTGTGAATAAAATATAACCTCTTTCTTAATTGAACAAAAATTTGATTTTTTATATATAAATATTTATTTACTAGAAACCTACAATTTGTAGAAGATTGAAATAGCTTAGTAAAGAAAATATAAAATATAAGTGATAACACAGAGAAAAGGCCTAGGGACATATTGGGGGGCCTAACACAGCCACACAAGAACCTTTCCCCTCCTCCTCCTTCTCTCCTCCTAAGACAAAGACACAAAGGATCTGGTTAGTCCCATCAGTTCGCACCAAAGGACTCTAACCTGCTGGGCAAGCTGTGACATTTGCCAACGTCCCATGACCCCACGTAAACAGGGTCTCTAACTGCCCCAGAGTGGGCACAGACACCACCTTTGCACTGCCCAGGCAGGTAACCCTCCCCTTTCCATAAACCTGGCCTGAACATCTCTGCTGTGGCCCCTTCTCTGGGCACCACCACTTACACCTTTTAGGACAGAGGTAATAAAAGCTAATTTAGAAAGCTAAAGAGGCTTCATTATAGTGAAGCTTCACATCTGGCCTTAAGCTTCCTGCCAGCATGAGGGAGAAGAGTGGCCAGGGGACTTACGTGTTAGCTTTTCCTAGCACTGAGTTCTAAAAGAAAAATTCAGGAGGTTGATTGTTACGGACGAAATGTGTCTCCCTTCCATATTCGCAAGCTGACATCCTAACCCCAATGATGGTATTAGGAAGGCGGGTATTCAGGACTCGTGATCATCACAAATGGGATCAGTGCCTTAGAAGAGACACAAGAGCCCCCCCCCCTTCTCTCTCTCTCTCCCTACCCACTTCTCTCTCTCTCTCTTTCCCCACCCCCTTCTCTCTCTCTCCCCACCCACTTCTCTCTCTCTCTCCCCACCCTTTTCTCTCTCTCCACCCCCTTCTCTCTCCCCACCCCCTTCTCTCTCTCCACCCTCTTCTCTCTCTCCACCCCCTTCTCTCTCTCTCTCTCTCCCTACCCGCTTCTCTCTCCCCACAACATGAAGATACAACTACAAGTGGGCAGTATAAACCCAGAGAGGGCCCTCACCAGGGCTCACCATGCTGCCACCCTGGCCTTGAACTTTCAGACTCCAGAACCGTGATAAATGAACTTCTGGTGTCTGTAATCCACCCGGTTGGTATACTTTGCTACAGCAGCCAGAACCAAGATGTGGACTTTTCATTTTTATTTTATAAAATTACTGAGTCACAGGAAACCAAACCAAAACAAAACAAAAAAAATCTAAAACCTCCTACAACTGCAGAGTTCATTGGAAGGATAACTATTAGCCTCTATTTGAATACTGCTGAATGGAAGATTACCTGATGGAGAGCCACGTCTGTGACCCAATAATTTCCATCTTTATCTACGCTCAAGCCATGTGGCAGGTAAAACCTGTAACATAAAAATAATTGTGTAAAATACATATTATTCCCAAAGCATACACAAGGGGATTTTTCTAATTAATCCATAAAGAGAATATAATTCATAAATTGATAAATGAATCTTGTATTAAGATAGGAAAGAAAAAAATTAATTATTAATAAAAATGCCTGCTATAATATAGACCTCCTTGTCATCAATCTTAAGCAGTAGTTAAGCTTATATAAAAATTATAAATATTTATTATAAAGTGTGAAATATTCGAGTGAAAAATACAAATGACATCAGTTTAAAAACAGGTCCTAAGATCATAAACATTAAAATCTTAGAAATGTGCATAAAACAAATTGTCCCGAGAAGAGCAAATGATTTATGTAGTTTGAATAGTTAAAATATACTACTACAAGGAAATGTAATATTGTGTTAATATATACTAGTAAATGCACGCACTCAAATGTAAGGAGTGCCAACTAAAGGAAATAACACCCCAAAACAACTTTGAAGAAATTTGTGCTGTGGACACCCGAGCTAAGGGACGTGGGGAGCTGGATGGTAGTGAGGGATAGTTAGCCCCTGCAGCAGGTCCACCTGGACGACCTGGCTGAGGAAGCTGGACACAGCACAACTCACCAAGGTTGTTGGTTCAATGGCATCTGACAATCAGAAGCTCTGTCTGTCAGCGTCTCGCCTTAGGATGGTGTTGGCAGCACAGACATTATTTTTTTCCCCACGAGCCAAGACTGTAATACTCTGATCTTGACTAATGAACTGAACTAGATCACTGTTTTGGCAACTGAAGGTGAGGGTCATGATTTACTTTCAAGCAAACACCCCATGGGAAGGCAGGGTGGATTTAGCATGGTGTCTCTGCCTGCCCCCTCACCCCTTTCTGGAATAAGCATGCTTCTGGTGAATGCAGAGAGCCACTGCCGCAAGTCCAGACATGGAGCAGTGGGGCTGGCAGTGGAACGTGCCCCCGATGCATCACCTGAGAGTGCTGTGGAAAGTATTCCCAGCCTCATTCCCCCATCTCCACAGAGGCTGCGTCCCTGCTTTCCAAAGCTGGCCCTCCCTCGCCTCGGCAGATGGAGTGGGGCACGGTTCCTGCCCTGCCAGGTCACAGTGGCCGAGGAGCTCTGTAAGTGGATGCCCCTTCTTTCAGTGACCATGAACAGCAGCCAGCTTTTTTTTTTGGTTGCCAAATTCCATCTAGAAATAAGACTAATCAGCAGCTTTCAAGGCCAAATTACACATGCGTACTAAGGAATGCTAAAAATGACATTTGTTTAGTCTTCACTTTGTGAGGGGGACTGAAGCCCTTTTTCTTAATGGTGATTACGTGATGAGTTTGGTTATGCTGAAGAATTTTCCTGCTGAAGAATTTTCTTTTAATCATCAGATTTTCCTGACCAGCAACTCACCTCATTAGCTATGTATATCAATGGCTCCTTTGAGCTTTACTACACACTGGAACAACCAAGGAAGCTTCAAGCGTGCTACACATACCCCTAGTTGAGTCTGAACCTAATTTTGAAACTGTAAATGGACAAATTATAATTGTATATATTTATGGGGTATGACGTATGTTAGGAGGTAGGCATACAACATGGCATGATTAAATGAGCTAATTAATACAGCCATCACCTCAAATTCTTATTTTTTTGTGAGAACATTTGAAACCTATTCTTTCAGCAGTATTGAAATGAAACCTGAATAGAAATTTCTCAAAAGAAGACATACAGATTGCCAACAGATATATGAATCTAGTTTTTTTTTTTTTAAGCTTCCCAATTGATTCTAATAATCAGTCAAGGTTTAAAACCATCTATTTAGAAAATGAAAGGGTGGCCCAATAAATCACATGGTTTCTTACGTGCAGCCCTGTGGCTACTCTTCCGAGACCCCAAGAGATACTTTATACTCATCTATGCAGTACAGGCCCTCATAACAACTCACAGGTTTTTGCCACTGGACTGGATCACTGTAGCTGTATTTGGGTCTACGACAAGGATGGTGTCTTCTTCAATTGGTCCAAGTCCTCTTTGCTGGTAAACAAACTTGCTGTCAAAAGAGCTAAATAAAATGCATTAGAATGGAAAGTATAACTATCGAAAACTCCAACAAACTTGAGAAATACACTGAGGTTCTAAATGCAGAATCAAAAGAATTCAAATCTATCTGACCTCACTCTGGCCCCCATGCTTCCCCATTGCAGTCTATCCCAGAAACCTGCAGAGAACGCTCCTCAGAGCCGTCAGCGGAGCAGTGGCCTCGGCCTTGCCGGGAAGGCAGGCGGGACCTGCCGCACCTGCATGTCCCTGGACCCCTCGGTGGTTCCCACACACTTGCGGGTTTGAGAAACACTGACCAAGAACTCTCAACATGCCTACAGTTTTAAAAAGCTCTTCAAAATATCATACAGTAATTAAACAAATATTTTCGTTCAAATTACAAAAGAAAGTATAACTTCCTTTAACTTTCTCAGTTCTGATAATAAGGGCTGGAAGAACAGTATCAAAAATAGGCTTGTCATTGTAATGGCCACAAGTACAACACATGCGCCTTGAGGACAGAAAACAGAATGACCAAAATAGTTCAAAGCACAAAGCAGAATTTACTCTCAAAACAAAAATGTGCTTAGAAACATGAAAGTTTTTCTGTATCACAGCTTTCTATCAGCACAAAATGAATAACTACAGAGTAATTAAGTTAGAAATTTATATGACTGTGGCAATTTCTGCTCTTTAACTCAGCACCTGGTCGGTTGTTATAAAACACCAGAGGCACATACGTTCTTTCTCCATAGTTTTTAAATTTCTGTTTCTACCAAAGTTATTAGTAATTTTTTTCCCTTATATTGGCAATTACAACAGACATTGTTCTTATTTCATTTCCTACCTTGGAAATTATGTGTTGATGTAGATAAATGACAAAGATAAACTCTTCTAATATAAACTTACACAGAAACAAATGTATGAGGCACCTAGCAACCGACTTATATTTTCACAAAAGACTGGATCGGTAGACAGGTGAGTTGTGTGTGAACAGATATAAAATATCAACGTATGTACATACAGGTGTGTGTGTATGGATCAATAGATGATCTTGAATATTTCTGTAAAGTAGAATTTCAGGCAAGGCTGTGAAAAAAATTATTAATCCTTTTGTAGTTTAACTGTATAAGCAGTAGGAGAATCTGAAAAACATTAAATATTTGTTGAGATATAGCTGCAATTTGGGAAGGGAACAGACTGCTCAAACCTGTCACTCATCCATTGATTAGCTGGAGGACATTTTTATTAAACTTATGTAGAGTCCCAGTAGGAGGGAAACATTTTTGTTTGTTTATTTATTTATTTTTATTTATTTTGAGACAGTCTTACTCTCTCACCCTGGGTGGAGGGATGTGGAGTCACAGCTCACAGCAACTTAAGCCTCTCAAAAGTAGCTGGGACTACAGGCACCTGCCACAGTGCCCAGCTAGTGTTTCTATTCAGTAGTGACAGGGTTGCCTTCTTGCTCAGGCTGGTCTTGAACTCCTGAACTTACGCAATCCGCCTGCCTTGGCCTCCCAGAGTGCTGGGATTACAGGCATGAGCCACTGCATCTGGCTGAGAGCAAAATTTTTTAATTGCATTCTTTTGCTATTGAAAATATATATCACGCAATTATGTGAGTTTCTTGACTGTTATAATCTTGTGGGTATATTTTTTCCTGACAGGTAACAGTAAGTCCCCGCAGTGGTTCTAATTAATGATGCATTCAACTGGACATAAAATATTGCCTCAGCTTTGGCAATCTAAACTTAAGTAATGCTGTTTATAGATGCTGTCATGGGTAGTTAAAACCACAGAGTAGTATCTAGAAGAAAAAAAAACCACACAAATTTATGAAATGAGAGTAGCTAACAAGACAGATTTTCTAAGATATTCATGAAATCATTATTAAACTGAAATGTGAAATTTAATTAGAGAGCAGTGTAAGATTCATGGTATTGTGAAATAGTGGGAGACTCAAAAAGGCAAACACACTCTCCCTTGATACTTTGAAACAGTAAAGGGCTTATCTGACCTCTGAAACTCTAACTCCAATGCCAACTTCTTTACTAAAAATACCATAACGATTTCTCTGGAAAGCAAAGGTACTGGACTCAGCCACCGATTTTAATTGTTTCCCCAATTCGACTGTGCTATTGAGTAACTGTAGTTGAGCACATCCCAGACTCATCATACTGTAAATTTCACATTCATATATTGAAGGCTTCCATTTCTTCACTCATTTTCTCTCTTAAGGTCTAAGTCTCACATTCCTCATTATCCAGGAACATTTCGGTGATTTGCAAAGGCACCATGGTGATCTAAATATGTGAAAATTATGCTTCCCCTGACTGTGAGGAGTTATGACCTTTCTTTCTCCTTTTTTAAATAGAAATTTTAATTGAGATACTTGTAGAGTTACACATAGTTGTAAGAAGTAATAAAAATTCTGTGTATACTTTACCTAGTTTCTCCATTCTCCAATATATAGATTTACTAAGATATTGACTTTTATAATCTCTACTGATGAAATTGAGATTTCCCTTTCCTTTTTTAAAAATTTCTTAAAATTTTTGTTTGTTCTTACAGTTTATTTCCTGGGCTAGAGTGTCTCAGCCTTGATCACTGCAACCTCAAACTCCTGGGCTCAGGTGATCCTCCTGCCTCAGCCTCCCTAGTAGCTGGGACTATTCAGTCCTCCAGAATGCCTATCTAGTTTTTCCTATTTTTAGTAGAGACAGGATCAAACTCTTGCTCAGGCTGTCTCAAATTTCTGAGGTCAATCCATCCTTCTGCCCCTGCCAGAGTGCTGGGACTATGGGCCTGAGTCACTCTGGCCCCACCCAGCTTTTCTAAGAATGGGTTGTGGTGATTCTGTAAGATAACTGCTCCTTTTATCTGTCTTGTTATTAATGTAAATATTCATTATCAGTCCTTAATTTCTGGTCATACTAAGTTAGGAAGTAATATTCCCATAATTTATTGATGGAGAGAAAGTAGAAAAGAGATTCCCCCCCACCAAGGAGCATCCAGTGAACTTCTGTAACCTGAAGCATTGCTTATCACTCCATCTTATTTTTCCAGACAAGTATTTTAAGATGTAAACTGTAGATTAAACTACTCTTTGGCAGCCATGTAAACTTAGAGTCATAGGCCAGAAATGTTGTAGGTGACGGAAAGACGTTATCTATCAGTGGCACTGTTCTGTCCCACCTTTAACTGTAGAAAAAAAATGTTATTTGAGTAATTGATATTTACTGTCGCAAACATAATTTAGGCGTATTTATGCTCATAATCTAGAAATTCCAAGTTTCCGTGGTGGTGGTAAATAGCAAAATTAATTCATTTGAGGATCATCTACTTCTATTTCCCTACCTACGTCTTGGTGTTGCAACAGAGAATTGTGAAATAGCAAGTGAAGGAATTTGAAAAAAGTAACAAAAACTGAATAAGACAGTAAACAAATCAGATTTTTATAAGAAAAAATTTGATCCACAAGAAAATCAGTTCTCCCAACTTATCCAGATATCTTTCCCAGTATCCTATCACAAGGTAACAACTCATGGTTTGGAACGTTCCAGGTTCCATTTGCTACTATAAACTATATTCACATCATCCGTGTGTACAAAGAGAGGGTTGTTTACGTGTTGTTTAAGACTAGCCACTTTTCCATAGCTTTATGATTATTAGTCACATTATTACTCTTTATTTCCACTGTATCCATTAAGGATTTCCCTGATTAGGCAAGTTCTTTAATTGCTGAAATAAATTACAAGACAAGGAATCTATTCATCCAACTACCACCCTTAAGACAAAGAAAAAAATAACACAAAGCAAACAAAACATCACAAACCAAACTTCAAAATTAAAACATTTGGGTGGCACCTGTGGCTCAGTGAGTAGGGCGCTGGCCCCATATACTGAGGGTGGTGGGTTCAAACCCTGCCTGGCCAAACTGCAACAAGAACAAAAAAAAAATAGCCGGGAGTTATGGTGGGCACCTCAGGAAGCTGAGGCAAGATCACCTAAGTCCAAGAGCTGGAGGTTGCTGTGAGCTGTGATGCCACAGTACTCTACTGAGGGTGACAAAGTGAGACTCTCTCTTCAAAAAAAAAAAAACAACAACAACAAAAAAAATTAAAACACTCCATTACCATCATTTAAACATATTAATTTACTTTAGTACTGTAAACAAAAACAATAAAGAACAATGTAGAATTTGTAGGAATAATATAGCTGTAAGGGGATTAACCACAACACAACAGGCCAGACCACTCCCTTAAAATCTGAGTGATATCCTTTAACAGATGCTTATATGTTTAAACCGGCAGCACCAAGGGACATTCGATTACGCGACTGACTGCTTGACTGGCCCTCATCCTTTCACTTGGGATGGCTGGAGCTCCTGGGACTAACAGCTGGCCCCTATAATAAAAGAAATTGACGTCTTTTCTTCAACGAGAAAATCACACACATGCACATACCTTACACCTGCCAAATGAAGCAGTTTATAAACTCTCTGTAGTTCAGGGACACGTAACCCTGGAATAGTTCACAAATGGATGTTGGATTATAGAGCTGATACACGGTTGCTATAGCAGACAGCTTCTTGGTGTTGGAAAGCAGCCTGTGTGCCTTATTTGCTGCAGAGAGGTCTTTATTTCAAGCACATTTAACTTTTTCAGGATGTAATAATACCTCACACATTTCACACCGTGCCTGGAGCACTGGTGATTTTTCTTTCCTTCCCTGGAAAAGCACTCAGCTAAAAAGACCTAAGGGTGGCCTGTGGGCCTGAATTCATCTGTTCTTTATTTCAGCTGTTGAAATTCCCCATTAATGATTTTGCACATTAGCAACTAATGAAACAAGTTAGATAAGGCTGGGGAGAAACGCTTTGCTATATTCACACCCAAGAAAAAGCTTACCTGATGGAGGAAATAAACTCCTGTGCCGTCAATCAAAATTAAGGAATGCAAAATAAATAATAGCAACTGAAGAAAGGCACCAAATATCATGTTGTAATTATATCCGTTAAGATGGAGAAAAATAGGTTTCCGGGGAGAAAATAAGAGGAATGCAGCTTCAGTGTCAGAAAAGAAAAAACATACAAAGGCCCGAGGCTCGAAATGGAATACGGATACTAAATCAAACCCTTACTTCTGAAGTATACACGTTGCAGAAAATTCCCATGAGGAGCAAAAAGGGAGTCAGACAAAAAAAAAAAAACAAAAAACCTCAACAACCCCACTATGACTATTTAGTACCCTGATGGGCCAGAACTAGAGACACCACAAATTGGGATGGAAAGAAGGAGAAATGGAGCAAGTGGCCCCCAGGCCCTCAGGGTTCTGCTGAGTTAGGAGGCCACAGGGTGAGTCGCTTAGCAAAGTGCACCTTGTCAGTTGACAGCATGAGGCAGGCAGTTACTCAACCCTCATGTTTTAGACAAGGGAACTGAGAGTCAGGGAGTTCATTCAAATGTCTTGGCAAAGGTCTCAAAGCTTGGAAATGGTAACCAGGATTCAAAATCAGTTCTCCTGTCTTCAAAAAGGTGTGGTTTTGTTGTACTAGGGTTGGACTGACCCATTAAACTGGATAATCTCCCACCAGTTATCAAAGTTATCAAATTCAACGTGTAGGAGAAGAGATGGAAGGACAGTACCATAAACTTGAAGAAAATGGCTCCAGCAAAGTGTAAAACGCAGTTGAGAGAGAAGGCCGGAAGTGAGGCCCCCTCCTGGGGACGCCTGACAGTTTGCTCAGGGTAGGAAGGTGCAGACTCACTCACGTTGAGCTCTGCCCTTCAGACCTAATTAAATCAAAGCCCTGAAAGGAGCCACAGATGCAGAACCAGAACCCCAAACACATCCCTTAACTGAACTTCCAGACAACGAATGAGGCAAATCCAAACACATTTTTCTGTAAGTTAGGAAGCAGATCGTTTTCTGAAATAATACCCTTGGCAATATGCCACAAAACATTGATAAAGAGCTGGTCTGTGACCCATACGGGGGGGGGGGGGGGAGTTGAGAGGAGAAGATTCCCAGAAGTTCTCTATAAACAAAACTTGCAGAAGCATCCACTCAGCCAGTCACATTTTACAAACAACATTTACTAAGATATAAAAAGCACGCTTGTCATGTAGACACAAGCCTGGGAGGGAAAGCTCGTTCTCTGGTTAATTAAGATTAAAATAATATCTGTAAATGGAAACAGTGCTAAATCTAATGTAGTGTAACATAATTGGAAGAAAGTCCTAAAGTCAATATTTTAAAAGCATTGCATAAGTGCATGTTTCCAGCAAAAATATCAGCACAATTTCATACCACAGATTTGGAGATTTTAGATTAGAAATTCTGCATAGGGTGACATGGTGATATAGCTGCTAAAAAAATTGAATACAAATTTTTTATACAAATAGTTATCTAAAATACACATGAAAGGAAGTAATCCCATCACTGATCATATCATATGTCACATTTTGGGGGCACGTAGAGATCAAAGACTTGAGTGCTTCCAGATGAAAGTAGCCACGTTGGTTGGAGGCTTGGGGGACATCCGGTCTGCAGAATCTAAGAATTCCTTCAAATTTGCAAACAACCAGCATGGAGATAAATGGCAGTCAATTCATCCTTTCATCCTGCATTATTCCACCATGAGAGTGAAGTTCAAGGACTTGGGTTTATGTTTAAAACAATGAAGAGCTTTCTAACATCTAGCCAGGCCCCGTAATTTGATGGCAAGTTTCACATCTACAGATTTTCTTAGCATAGAAAAGTTCAAGCACTCCAGCCGCCATGCTGCCCGAACACCAGGGCAGACAACAGGCTCTTTAAAGTTTCATTAAACCCTGCGGGCAATAGGCATTTCCTGCCTCAGCTAGAGGAAGCTTCTTAAGTACAATATTGAGGTAAGGGAGGAAAATGGAAATCAAATTGATACAGGGAGTGACTGTTATCTTTCCAGATTTAATGGTTTATCATTCTTATTATCGTCTTGGTTGCCGTGTTCATCCAGCAGGGTCAAATAAAAGAGTAAAGGCTGATCATGGCTGGGAGGTGGGAATGAGGAGTGATAGAACTTATAAACCCAACCGGTGCAAAGACACGGTACTAGGTATGAATTAGGGAATATTATTAACTCCAAGTAATATAATTAAAGAATAGTCACCTCTTAAAAATTATGGGATATAGAATGCTTAGGTTTGATTTAGAACAAGGTCTGGTTTTATAGAACCTACAATTTTTGAGCCTGAAAAATACCATCAGGATGGCAAAGACTGCAAAGAAAATTAATCCAGATTTCTCATCGCCCTGCTCAAACAGCAGGAACGGGATGGCCACCTAACAAGTAACGTTTTTGTCCCTCACTGGCACCTCACAAATTCTTCAGGAAGGCGCTGTCACTTTCTTTGTACAATATGTGGGTTTTCAGTGATGGAGAAGAAAAAATATACACTGTTTTCAATTTGTATGATGTGACTAGTCCATGTAGGAAGGATGGTCACATATAACCAAAGAACAGAGCCAGAATCTCATTCGTTCTTTCAACAAATTTGAATCTGTTTTCCTACAAAACAACAGAGTAATCTACCTTTAATTCTCTCTATGAATAATAAACCCAGAAAATAATTTTCTCACAACCACAGGCTGCAAAGGCTGCCAGGAGGCAACAGGCAGCCCCGGGAAGAGGGAAGGGAAGAGAGTGAGGACCGCTCTCACAGGTGGGGGAAGAGGAGGAGGAGACGGGAGGGTCAGAGATTCAGTGAGGAAACCAGCGGGCTGCTCTGAAGAAGTCTGGCATTTTCAACAGCACCCTTTGTTTCTGTCATTCTCAGAACAAACACCCCAGGGCTTCGGCAGAGAGACTGGAATCTACTTCCTCAGGACTCCGATTATCAGGATGGAAGCTACACACGGGAGAAAGTAGTTCCTCAACCCCCCTGCCGTACGTGAGCCACAGTCCAGTGTCACCTCCTGCCTGCGCTGGCCTTGACTGGTCCCAGGCTCTGCTGTTTACTTGGAATATCGTATTAAAATGGAAAACTGGACTGTAGCCAAGGGAGCTGTAGCCGGCAGAAACAGTATCAACACAGAAAATGATGCTGTAAAGTTCTCATCTGGTAAAATGTGGCTGGAAACCCAGGCAGAAAATGCAGCGATGTTCATTAAGATGAGGACTGTGCGACAGTGAGCAGTAACGGTTTGCTTTTTAAAGCCCCTGTTAAAGTCCCTAAGATGTTCAGGGATGACTGTGAGACGGTGTAACAGAGATGGACCAGGGGAACGCTGAGTTCCGTTGTTTGTTTTGAACTCCAAACTCATCTTTCTCAGATTTCATTTTCAAGGCTGACAACTGGAAAGGACAAGTGAACAGTAACAAAGCCACCTATGTATTTTGAAATGTAGATTAAATTCCATCCTCTACTGCACAAAGAAAGCGACATAGACACGTATGTGATGAAGCAGGTTCAACATGACTTTAACCACCATCTCTGACAACAGGAAAACCATGTAGATTCGATTTTCCAGATGTGACCCTACAGTTACATGCGTGAAAGATGATCTCTTGGTCTCACCTGAGAACAGATGTAACATGCACCTTCACATGTGAGTTGGTAATGCAATCCATGAATAAAGGATATTCAGTATTTGGGGGAACCGAAATAGTCTGCTGAACTTCAGAGCACAATTCAACTACCATGGTTCAGCAGCCAACCCCAGACTCACATGGAAAGCGGCTGGAGCCCGGCCTCGCCACTTGCAAACCGTGAACCTTTGGGCACAATGTACCTAACTTCTCGCGGTTCACCTGTCAAATGTGAGTCATGATGGCTACACATGGAACAATGCCTGTTGTGAGGTAATATACGTAAACATTTACAATGGCGATGGACTAGCAGGAAACAATAGACGTTAAGATATTTTGACTAACAAGCCCTCTAAGAAGGTAGTGAAGGAGAATGAACACGACCATCATTTTCTTGAATGAAATGAAAGGCTGAAAATGGAAACACAGGGGAAAGCAGGGGTGTTAGACAGTCCTGGGGCCGTTCTTATGTCTTTGATGCTTTTATTACTCAAATTTGATAATAAAGTAAAAGTTAGTATTTCTGCACACAATGCAACCCCAAGGTCCAGGAGGCTGTTATCACTGCCACGGAGTGTCCAACTGCCTTAAAATAGTTCTATTCCCAGGACAACAAAATAACAAAGTGCTCTATTATAGTCAACCAGGGACCTTTCTGAGTTAATCACTCACAAAGACTTTCTTTGAAGTCTTGAAATTTTTCAGGAGCTGAACTACCTGTAACATAGCTTCAGGGATGAGGGAGCAGAAAGGTTAGTGGGCAGAATCACAGACTGTTACCACCTTCTTTCCGTAAACTAGTCCGTGAAACTACTTTGCTTTAAAATGCACAAGATTTCCTCTCTACTTATTACAATTATGCATTAAAAGGACGAATATGTTTGGCTCATACATACCAAGTTTAAAAGAACCTTTATAATTTTCTCATGATTAGTCTTAGTTTAATGAAAACATGTATATGCTATTTTAATTTTCATTTACTCTTGAAAGAAAACAAAATTACTTACTTGCCATCCCAGACATGGTCACCTCTGTGGAAAATCACCAGGTTATTGTTAAGGTCCAGAGCCACCCCCGAGACCTGGCCTGGTAACAAGTACACGCCAGGCCAGTCCAGGGCCTCTTCTACGTGGAAATCTAAAAGGTAAAGCCATACAGTTAGCGTGAAAAGGAAAGACGGCCGCATGAGGATTTATAATAGTTACAAGAAGCTCATGCAGGTAACATCACTGGATGCAAATAAACAGAAGAGAGGATCGAGCCGTGCCCTGCATGCTCCACGCCTCACGCATGTGCCGCAGCTCCTACGCTCAGGAACCCAGCGAGTGGCCTGGGCTTGCCCCAGGGCTGCCAGTGCTCTTTTCCTGTTGATGGGATGCCTGTAAACCAGCTAACCCTGAAGTCAGTGAAGAGAACATTTCAGGCAGCCTTCTCTTTGACAAGATTCTTACTTTAAAATCTTTGGAAACTATGACAACATGGGTGGCATCGCTTTAATACAAAGCTTTTAAATGTGGTTCAATAAACAGCAAGCATGGCTGAGGCGCCTGTCACCCTGGGTATCTCCCCCCTTCCGTCCTTCTTCCTGATCTCTAGATCTACCCAGCTCTTGAATGAATTCTGGACGTTCCATACCCAGTAGTCCCCCTGATGAGCCATTCCTCAGCTGTCCCGTGTACAAGGAGCTGTCTAAGATACCAAATTCACGTCTCCTGACCTCGGTGTGTCTGAGAAGTGAGACTCTTCCTCTTCCTAGATATCTTTGTTTCCTTAAATGGGAGAAGGAAAAATTACAGAAACTCTGTGGCTGGATTATTTCCAAGTTATTCTTTTTTTTTTTTTTTTTTTTTGAGACAGAGCCTCAAGCTGTCCCCCTGGGTAGAGTGCCGTGGCATTACAGCTCACAGCAACCTCCAACTCCTGGGCTCAAGCGAGTCTCCTGCCTCCACCTCCCAAGTAGCTGGGACCACAGGCGCCCGCCACAACGCCCGGCTATTTTTTGGTTGCAGCCGTCATTGTTGTTTGGCGGGTCCGGGCTGGGGATTCGAACCCGCCACCTTAGGTGTACGTGGCTGGCGCCTTAGCCGGTTGAGCTATAGGCGCCGAGCCTATTTCCAAGTTATTCTTATTTCTGATCAGAATATGCATTTATCTTCAGAGAATGGGGGAGGGGTTAATTTGTGTTAATGTTTTATAAACACGCTCATGAATAAAGAGGCATGATGCACATGTGTATACAAATAGGGGATTGGAGTTAATTAGGTCACTGCGAAGCTCTTGTACCAGGGTCAATATCTCCTTCCCTCTCAAATGCTGTGAAACAGAGTCTCCTTTCCCATCCCCGCATCCTGGAGGATGTGGCCCATCCAGGGAAATCCTCAGACAGGCGTTAACGACAGAATGAAGAGAGGGAACCTCATGGCTGCGAGCACGCTGGCGTGAGAAAGAGCGCTTTCAAATAATTCCATCAACTGTGCAAGGGGGAAAAAGTGCCTTTCACACAAAATATTTTGGCCTTTGCACATTTATTCTTTTCTTGACAAAAATGAACAAATCATCACAGTCAATAGGATGCCTCAATCAGTTCTGCCTACAACCTTTGCTGAAGAATCTTCAAAATTTTTTTTTCTAAGTATATTTTCTTATGTAAGGCACTATGCTAGATGCAGGGAACACAGAGAAATAAAACAGTTTCTGGCCTTGGTCAAGAAAGGGATGTAATAAGGATATAATTGGGCAGGGATATAATAACAGAAGATGAGGGGAAAAGGAATCAAATACTTACGACACAAGGTCGTGTAGGGATGCAGGATAGGACCCCCAATCCTCCCAGAGACTTGAGCTGGAGTAGAAAGGGATATGGTCTACCCCGAAGGTCTTCCAGAGGAACAAACCTTAGTGTTTTCACTAAGTGTAAAGAGGGCTTATTCAAGTATAAAGTGGGCCGAGCGTATTTCAGTCAAGCAGAAGGAAAGTGAGGATGCTTTCAGCTGTAGAGTGTGTGTTGGTATCTGTCAGCAATGAGGATATCTGTATATGCCAGGTGGAGCTGGGGGGCCTGGGGACAGGACGAGCAGGCCCTGAGATGTGGCTTAGACTGAGACCGGAAAATGGACAGCACACCAGGGAGTCTGCGTCTAGCAAAGAGAATGCAGTTGCAGCTGTGGTGTCTTCACCTCTACTAGGATCACTTTTGAAGCGTGTTGCAAGTACTTTATTAGCAGCAGTAAAGCACAGAGTTGGGGAATAATTTTCTTTTGAAATATATCAGAGTCGACGAGAAAGCCATTCTCATTAACGTGCACTATAACATGCCTCCTGGAGGTGGAGAGAGAGACAGAGTCACAGCTCGCGTGCCTGAATCTCCAAGTGGTCCTGGGTGTGGCGGTGGACGTGAATGGAGCTGCTCAGTGAACAGCATCTATCACCCACCACCTGCTTGTGTAAAGGGGGAAAGGTTGCAAATAGCTGCTACAGGCAGTTGGAAGCCAATGACAGTCTAAACATTTTTTTCATTGATAAATGACAATTGTACACATTGAATTTTTGTACATGTGAAATTTTGATACATGTATACTCAAAGTAGGGTATTTAGGGCATTTATCACTCAAACATTCATCATTTCTTTGTGTTGGAAACATTTCCTATTTTCTAGCTACTTTGAAATACACAATATATTGTTAACTGTATTCACCCCACTGTGCTACCGAGCACTGGAACTTAATCCTTTTCTCTAACTCTACCTTTGTGCCCATTAACCAACCTCTTTTCATCCCCTCACCTGCCTTTCCAGCTTCTGTTAACTGTTAACTGTTAGCTTCTACTAACTTCGCTAGCTCCCACGTAAGAGGTGGAACACGGAAGGTTCTAGAAGCTTTTTAGTTTAACATAGTCTCATCTGTCTCTGTTTGCCTTTTTGGGGCTCTTTTATTTCGTGTAACATGATGACCTCCAGTTCCATCCATGTTGCTGCAAATGTCAGAACTTTATTCTTTCTTAGGCTAAATAGGATTGCATTGTGTATGTGTGTCCCATTTTATTTGTCCATGGATTAGTGGATACTTAGACTGATCCTGGATCTTGACTATTGTGAATAGAGCCGCAGTAAACGTGGGGTGCACGCATCCTTCAGGGTAGTAGCTGGACTGCTGGACCACGTGGTGGCTCTACTTCCAGAAAGCTGCACATGGCTCCCCTAACGGCTATGCTAATTTACACTCCCAACGGTGTACATGAATTTCCCCTTCTCTGAATCCTCAGCAGCATTAGTTATTTTTAAAACTTTCTAACCAGGGTGAGATGACATGTCACTGTAGTTTTTATTTGCATTTTCCTGGTGATTAGTGATGTTGAGCAGTTTTTCACGTACCTTATGTTCATTTGTATGTCAAATTTTGCGAAATGTCTATTCATATCCTTGAGGCACTTTTTATGTTTCTTTTCTTTTCTTTTTTTGAGATAGGGACTAACTCTGTCACCCAGGCTAGATTTAGTGCAGTGGTATGATCATAGCTCACAATAGCCTTGAACTGCTGGGCTCAAACGATCCTTCTGATGCAGCCTCCTGAGTAGCTGCAATGACAGGAGGCTGGAACGACCACCTGTAAATATTTTTATTTTTTGTAGTGACAGGGTCTCACTGTTTTGCCCAGGCTAATCTCAAACTCCTGGCCTTCATTGTCATTAGAGGTTTCTGTCTCTTCCTGCCTTGGCCACTCAAAGTGCTGGGATTACAGGAGTTGAGTGGAGTGCCTTGTAGTTCTGGACATTAGTCCCTCGCTAGATGAATAGTTTGCAAGTATTTTCTCCCACTCTACAGCTTGTCTCTTCACTCTGTTTATCGTTTCTTTGCTGTGTGGAAGCTTTTTAGTTGAATATAGTGCCATTTTTCTGTTTGTGTTCTTGTTGCCTGTGTTTTGGAAGTCGTAGCCGTGCAGGGTTGGGGAACCTGTGGCCTTCAGCAAACGTAACCGCCTTCCTATCCTTAAATGCAGCCTTTAGATTTAATACAAATTTTACACAAAATTATTTTATTAGAAGGGGGGCAACAGCGAAAGATGAAGCTTTTCTTGCTCCAATGTTGGATGCGTGACATTTAGGATCATTATATCATCTGGTTAAATTGATCTTTTTATCTGTACAACTGTCCTTCCATTTGTCTCTTTTCACAGGTTTTGACTTACAGCTATTTTTTCTAATGTAAGTCTCGTGACTCTTGCTTTTTGGTTTCTGTTTGTGTGGAGTATCCTTTCCTCTCCCTTCACTTTAGCCAGTATGTGTCTCTACATGTGCAGTGACTTCCTTGAAGGCAGCAGCATTCGAGTCCCTTCTCTTCTCATTTGCGTGTCTGCTCCGCCAGAGGGTTTTATACTTTCATGTGCTTCCCTGAGGGTGTAAACCATCCTTTTATTCCACAGGTAGGACTCCCTTAGGCATGTCCTACAGGGATAATCTAATTATAATGAATTACCTCAATTTTTGCTTACTTGGGAAATATTTTATTTCTCATCTGGTTTTTTGAAGGATAGTTTTGCTGGGTATAATA